TAGGGCGTTTGCAGTTTAACTTCACAGCAGGCCATCAGGGAGGTTCCAATGCGAGAGCCATCCTGTAAATGACACCAGAAAGCAGCACCCTGGGCCAGGGTATTGACCACCTTGAAATGGCTCAGTGTTCACTTCACTAAAATGGAGATTATTGGGTTGTTTTGAGGGTAAAATGTTATCATACCTGTAAACAGCTATTATTATGAGCACCTGATAATTGGAACCTATTCATTAAGAATAGGTAGCCTGGGGAATGGGATTTGGCTAAAGAAAGGAGTAGCTTGATTTCTATCCCTGCAGCCAGCATACCACCATCTCCTGCCCTTATAGTTTGGGAGGAGTGGGGAAGGGTGGGATGAAAAGTGGGCTGTTGTCCTGATGAGCCTGCCTGGGATGGAGGGAACTTCTGATTTGAGCTGGACTGACTCTTTAGGGCTTCTCTGGTGACCCAGTAATTTAAAAAAAAAAATCCATCTGCCAATGCAGGAGACTCCATTCTGGTATTCTTGCCTGGGAAATCCCATGGACAGAGGAACCTGGCGGTCTACAGCCCACGGGGTCAAAAAAAAGATTTAGTGACTAAACAACAGTTCCTTCAGTTAGTGTCTGAGGTTTGGCTTAACCTAAAGACTCTGCTGTTTGTGAGTCTTGGGATTTACCAGGGAAATGTGGGGAGAATGGCTGAGAAACTCTGAGACAGGCTGTTTGGATAAGTACCTCACTTCAAGGGTGGTGATCAGGGTGAGTTACTACCTCTGAGCCTCTCTGCTTTCTCACCTGTAAAATGGGTACAATCCTAGGAATGACCTTATAGGGTTGTTGTGAAGATTGGGTTAATCATCAAAATGTCTATCTCAGTGAATTTCCACAGGATATCTATGATGTGGGGTTACAGAGCTACTAAGGGGGCAGATAAGGGAAAGGGCTGCAAGAGCATCTTAGAATGCAAATGAACTTCAGGTCACCTCCCTGCCCTCAGGACAAGGATCCTGCTGAGAGAGGGGAAGTGGTTGTCCAAGGTCATACTGGCAGTGTGTTTTAAGGCCAGAGCAGCGTCCCTGGTCCCTGGGCTGCCACACCCGGGATCTGACAAGCCCTACTTGGCACTGGCCCTTCCTATAGCTTTGCCCCGATGGATGCATTTCAGGAAGCTAGTTTTGCTGGGTCGTCGCCTTCAACAGCAGGATAGCATCCATACTCCCTGAAAACGTGTGTGCGGGAGTCCCCGGGCGCCTGCCAGTAGAACAGAGGTGGGGAGAGCTATTCTGGTGCCCCCACCCAGCCCGGGTGAGGGGGCGGCCGTGGGCGGCGGCGGCGTCCCCTGGCGCTGGTCTGGCGCGCTTCCTTGTCACCGCCAAGGCCTCCCTCCGCCTCCCTGGCGGCCGCTGTGCCGCGCGGGTGTTCAGTTTCAGCGCGGGGATGAGTGCAGGCTGCGCCCAGCTCCCTGAGAAAGGAAGGAAGCCAGCAAGCGAGGGCTTCGCGGTCCTCTACCGGGGCCTGGCTGCGCCGTGGAGGGTGCTCGGCTCTGGCTGCCGGGGCCGGGCGAGCGTCCAGCTTCCACCGCCCAAGGGGACACCCGGGAGCCGCACCGCCGAGGGTAACCGCGGGCGGGGCTGGGCGGGTGTCCCTGCGCGGCGCCCCGCGGGCCCCGGGCTGCCCGGGAGCCCCCACTCCTTCGGGGCGCGCCGGGGCGGGGTGTGGGTCGCCTCCCGCCCGCGGGCTGAACGGCCGGCGTCGCGGAGCGGCTCTTTGTGTCTCCCGGGGCTGCGTGTAAGTGTGTAGTGTGTGTGCACGCGTGCGCGCGCTCATTGCCTCCAGCCCCATCACCCGGTGCCAGCTTTCCAGGCACCCCCCCCCTCCGCCGCGCGCCAGACCTTTGCCCGAGGGGACGCCCCCTGGGCTGCTGGGGGAGTTTCACCAAGTTGGAGGGAAAAGGGCGGGGTGGGGTTGCCCCGCCTCCCCAGACCCCAGGCAGCGCCCCAAAGTTAGTGCTGCAGGTGCAGCGCCCCCACCTTCCAGGCTCCTCCCCAACCAGCCTGAGCCTTGGGAGGCGGGAACCCCCCCCCAAAGGCTTAGCTTGGGGGCGCCTGATATTCAGCCGCCAACTTAGACGGTGTCCTGCACAGAAAACCACCCGCGCCGTGGGGCGGGGGTGGGGGGGCGCGGCTTTCCGGGCAGGGGGCGGCCGCGGCCCAGGCGGAACCAAGGCTGGCTGGCCGGCCGCCGCGAGAGCTTAGCGGCCGTGGCACCGAGCCGGGATGCCCATGTGACTGCGGTGTGCTTTGGAAGAGGAAGCTGTTAGAGGTCAGTGCAAAGGCGTCACGCCAGAGAGAGCCAGAAGCCGGAGTGAGGGGGGAGACGTGGGATGAGCACGGCGGGCGAAGGCTGCAGGCACCAGGACCGAAGCGGTCCTCTCCCGGCTCCCCGGGCTGCCCTAAAGCATGCAATTGCCCGGCAGGAGGGACGGGTCGGTCCCGGCCGCCTGGAAATGAGGGACCTGGGAGGAGGGACCTATCCTGGAGAGGCGGGACTGGAAGTGGCTCCCCGGAGCTCTGAGGGGCCTCAGAGGATGCTGGAGGGTGACTGGGAGGGCAGAGCAGACACCAGCTCAACTTGGAGAACTTTCCCCTGCACGCAGCAGCCGCAGCTCCAAGGGATTCCCTTTCCACCCTTGCTGGGGAGGTTGGGGCTGGGGCTGGAGATGGGCAGGTTGAGGTGGGTGACCTGTTTGACCAAGCAGGCTTGGGTCTGGGGCCCAGGAGCCAAAACTGCTCTCTTTTCTGCTTTGGGCACCGGGGAGAGTGTCCAGCTGCAGGCCAAAGGAAGCATCTCGCCTTGCTCCATCCCACGAACACTTAAATTGTTTTTCCTAGACTGTTCTGCCAGGGGCCTGGAGGAGGTGGAAATCAAGGTTAGATTAAAAAAAGAAAAGAAAATCGAGAGGAAGAGATGGTTTTAGGAAAATGAGGACTAATATTTTGAAGTGGTGCTTAGAGTGGAGAGGTCGGTGTGGCCCGTGGGGGTGGGGGTGGGGTGGGGGCTTCAGCACCCCCTGCCCCTTGAGTTCCTTGGAGAGAAGAGAAACACCCAGGTCTTCGGCGTGGGGACCCGGCAGGATGGGCTCGGAGGAGGCAGTGGGGTGTGGAGCTGGAGCCGGAGCTGGAGCTGGGACTTTAACAGCCTCAGCGCCAGCACCGCCAGCACCGCAGCCCGCTCCTGTCTTCGTGACTGGGCTGCGTCCTGCGCTGTCAACTACACCCCTCCGATGGGGTTGCTAGGCAGCGGGGCTCTGATGTGCGGGAAGGCCTTCTGATTTGTCAGCCTCCTGCAGACACATGGTTAAGGCTCCTTCCAGCCTATCCGGAGGAGGGACGCGGGGCACGCCGCCTGCATACTGCCGACAGCCCCAGTCCACCTGAATGTGAGGTGCAAAAAGCAACCAGAGGGAGGGGCCACCTGGAACCCTCCAGCTTCCTAACCAGCTCTGCCCCACGCCCCCCTCCTCCCCTCCACCCCATTATCTCCTCTTAAGCTGCAGGTTCCTCCCTGCCCGTCCCCACCCCATTCCTCCCCTCTTCCCCCAAACCGTGGAAAAGCAAAGTGCAGCGGGGAAAAGAGGTCAGTGGGGTAAGCATGTGTGTGCGGGCCTCTGGAGGTGCCCGGGTGTGTGAGCATGAGCCCTGGGGCACTGCCCCCAGCAGTGGTTCTTGTGGGAAGGGGTAGGTGGGAGGGAGGGGGCCCTGGCACCGCCATCTGCCAGGCCCAGACCTGGAAGCCTGGCCGTCCCCCTCCTGAGCTCTGCCTACCCCTAGGAGGGCAGCAAGTGGAGGGAGGAGGGAGGAGACCACCGAGTAAAGAAGGATGGCTTGTCTGGCAGTTGCTGGAGCTCAGAAAGCAGTGTTGCTGGCCGCTTTCTTCTCCCAAATGCACTCCCTCTGTCCCAGCCTCTAAGGGCCAAGCTCTCCCTCCCTCCTTCCCTCCCTCTTTGCCTCTCCACCATCTCACCCCTAGGGTCTTTACCACTTGACTTTTTTTTAGCAGCTTTTTTTGAGATGTACTTCACACACCATTCATCCATTTAAAGTGTACAATTCAGTGTTTCTTAGCATGTTTACGGAGTCGTGCAACCACCATCAATTTTGGAGCATTTTTGTCACCCCACGACAAAACCCAGTACCCATTAGCTGTCACTCCCCATTTCCTCCCCCAACCTCCTTCAGCCTCTGGCTACCACTGTCCTGCTCTCTGTCTCTAGATTTGCCTACTCTGGACAATTCATACATGGAATCGAACACTGTGGTCTTTTACGGCTGATACCCTTGTACTTTCAGCTGCATTGCTTACTTTGCAATCAATTGCAGTTTGTCTTGCCATTTAACTTTTTCAGGGCTGTGTTCCAGTAAGAGCGTTTCATCCTTCAGGTCAGGGGTCTATGCTTTTCTCTAAGTGCCATTCCTAGCTCTGGGCCGGACCATTGCTTGGCTCTCAGTCAATGATTGTTGAATGAAGGAGGAGATGAATGGGGACTAGTAATTGGCAAGCATTGCAGGTGGTTTACAACTGAATTCCAGGGGGCCCAGCTGCTGCAGAGGGGCCTGGCAGCTTGGGAGAACAGCAGGTACAGGGGCTGGAAGGAGTAGAAAGGAAGCCTCTTGCTTGGGTAGGAGGTGTGGGGGTGGGGCAAGAGTAGAAACTGTCTGCAAGGAAGAAACGAAGTGGCCTGTGGGTTGCCAGTTCTTTCTCTGGCGGGAACCTGAGAACAAAGATGCCTTCCCCAGCCTTGGGGGCACGTAGCCAATGCTTGAGATTCATCACGAGTGATCACAGGGGCTTCCCCCGTGGGGAACTCCAATTAGGTTTGGGTTTTTAAAAAAAAGAAAATTCCCCAGCGTCAGCGTTTATCAAAGGGCAGCAGGTCAAGCATCTCTGAAACTCTTTGCTTACCTCCTGTGATTCAGGCACTGTATTGTTTTTTCTGTTTTTTCGCTCCTGTGCTGCAGGTACTGTCTGATGAGTGTGAAGGGTTGTTTCACTGACTTCCACATCGACTTTGGAGGCACTTCCGTTTGGTACCATGTTTTCCGGGGTGGGAAGGTGAGTTGAGTTGAGTCTCTTCCAATCTCTGTGCATCCCTGACTGTTTGCGCATGGAGGGGCTCTCACCTTTCTCCTTCCACCCACCTTCCCCAGCAAGCCCCCACACTGTGAGTACTTTGAGGGCCACTTGGTCCCCTGGGGCCACCTCCTCACTCTGTCTTTTTCTGGAGGGAAAGATCAAGGTCAACTCTTTTGCATCACTTCAGATCACCTATTCACCCCTGTTCAGCCAGTCCAATCAATGTCCTAAGCATCTTAGGCCTGATTAGGAGCACGCATGCTTCAGTCCTGTCTGACTCTTTGTGACCTTATGGACTATAGCCTGCCAGGCTCCTCTGTCCACGGGATTCTCCAGGCAAAGATACTGGAATCAGTTGCTATGTCCTCCTCCAGGGATCTTCCCGACCAGGGATCAAACCTCAGTCTCTTATGTCTCCTGCATTGGGAGGTGGGTTCTTTACCACTTGCACCACCTGGGAAGCATCTTAGGCCACATTAGAACTCCAGATTTGGCTCCCAAGAACCCCCCAGCATTCACTTCCCCCAGCTATAGTTTCAGCTCCAGCACTGTGACCTTTTAACTTAAAAGTCTAGTTGCTGGCACCACCTGCCTCCAAAAACATTTTCCATGAGGGACAGACATCACCCAGGGAAAGGAGGTGAGGCATGTGTTCAGGATGCTCCTGCTGTGTCTGCCGCTGTGTGCCTGTCCACGTGGGAACGGAGGGGTCCCTACATGGGCGTGGGTGTTCCTTGAAAATATGTGTGTGCCGTCCTGCTCCTCTGGGTCTGTGTGTGCATGTGTTTTAACCAAACGTGTTGGGAGAAATTCTGGGTAGAAAGTCACCCCACTTGGTTCCAGATGTTTTTCCTCCTTTTCCAGAGTGAGCACAAGCTGGGTTTATTTATTTGGCCATTTTATCATACAACTTAAGAAATCCTCCTTCCTCTCCTCGCCCCACCTCCCCCTACAAGCCCATGGCTCAGGAGAAAGAATGTTCTAACCAATCTAGAAAGTCTTTCCACCCTGGTGTTTCAGCTGGAATGAAGATTCTCTAAAGGCAGGCAGGAGGCCTCCCAGACCAGCAGCACAGCCCTCCCTGTCCCTCCAGAGACCCTTTGGGGAGCCTGGTCCTAGAGGGGTCTGCGGGGATGGGTCCTCCCCCATCCTCTCCACTCCCAGGCAGGTGGGGCTGTCTCCTGGCTGGTGGCAGAGCCTGGAAGAAATCAGAGACTTTGGCCTGGATCTTTAACTGATGGCTTCCTTTCCCTCCTAAGATCTTTTGGCTGATTCCTCCAACCTTGCACAATTTGGCACTGTATGAGGAGTGGGTGCTGTCAGGCAAACAGAGCGACATCTTCCTGGGAGACCGTGTGGAGCGATGCCAAAGAATTGAGCTGAAACAAGGCTACACGTTTTTCATCCCTTCCGGTAGGTTCCTGTGAGGCTGGCACTGGGCTGTCTCATAGCAGCCTCCTGTGACCAGGGGTTTAGGCCAGGCGGTGGGGTCTCTCTGGCAAGAGAAGCAGGCCTCAGGCTGCAGGGGAAAAACAACCTCTCACGTGTACCTGTTTCTTCCTGCCTGAGGGCTAGGATTTTCTCCTGGGAGAAAGCCAGAGCCCTCCCAGTCTGGGGAAGTTTGAATGCCTTCCTCTAAGAAGTCCTGCTGAGATTTCTGATAGTGAGGATGAGGGTGGTCCTGTGGGGAGGGAAGGGTTGACTTTACCCTCCGGGCTGGGGAGGGGGAAGAGGAGGGTTGGTCCAGGGGAAGGACAGACCCCATGGAAGCCTGGGTAGAGAGAAATGCACCCAGAGTGTCAGCCTCCTTCCTGCAGAATGAGATGAAATGTAATTGGGCTCAAGGTCAATTCCTGCACTTGGACTCTCCCCTTCCCCCAAAAATAATTAGCTCCATGACTACAACAGAGGGCAGTAATTAAGAGCACGGGCCCTGGGGCCAGAATACCCCGCCCTAATTCAAATTCCTTCTCTGATAGTTACCAGCTGTGACTTCCTGGAAATGACTTAACCTCTAGGTGCCTCGGTGTTCTCATCTGTAAAATGGTAGTAGTGAGGACTGAGTGAGCCAAGACCTATTTGCCTATATCTCCTGGGAGATGGGCTGAGGGCTTTTGGCCAGTTACAGGCTGAGTCACTAGTGGATGTGGCCAGGGACCTGGGACCCTTAGGCTGCCTTGGTGGTGGTTTAGTCTCTAAGTCGTGTCCAACTCTTGCAATCCCATGGGATTCTCCAGACAAGACTACTGGAGTGGGTTGCCATTTCCTTCACCATAGGCTGCATTAGTGGAAGCGTTCTGCCCAGCATAGGGGAGGTAACAGTCCTACTGGATAGAAGAGTGAGTGAGAGGGTTAGGCCACCTGATTGTGTTCCTTGTGGGTTGTAATTTGGAGAAGTCAACCTGGAGAGAGAGAAAAGAGTCTAGATATCACATCAGGTGAGTCACAAAGAGTTGCAAAGAGTCGGACAAGACTGAACAACTGAACTGAACTGAGGTAAATTTGAAGGAGCAATTGGATTGTTTCACTGCGGAAGTGAAGATGTATGGTAATGGCCATCAGCCAGTTGAAGGATCATCTGGAAGAAGAGGTGTCGCCAAGTAGTATTGGACTGACTTGCTCTGCTAGGCACTGAGCTCCCCATCACTGGAAGTATACAAGTAGAGGTTATATGCCAAGGAGCCTGCAGAGAATTTGCTGCTGAATGTAAGTGTGGATTTTAGGGCAGGCATATCCTTTGAGGCCAATAAGATTCATTGGATTGAGAAGATAGTCACACTTAAGTTTCTGAGAGTTGGACTGGAGTTGGCCTTGGGTCTGGACCAAACTGTAGTGTCAACTGAAGGAGTGGTTGTGTTGATAGTTCCTGCCATGGGGGTGTGGGACCTGCACATGTGGGTTCTTCTAGAAAGTTGGGCAGAGATTTCACTGGTCAGGTAATCTGGGATTCGGAGGTGGCAGGGTTTCGTGGGGGTAACTTTGTTGTCAGGGCCCCGGATCCATCTTTGGACCTGCTTGAATTGGGGAGGGTCGGGACCCCTGCTTGAGACAGGAAGGAATTGTAGTTGGGGGCAGTGTTTATGGAGCATATCCTGGCTGGTGTGGTGTGGAGAGGCAGGGAGGAGGTGGTAATCTGCAATGGGTTCAGGGCCACTCTGGGTTTTGGAGGATTGGCCCTGCTGGATTCAAAGGAAGGCTGGTGTGCTCTTGACCTTGCTGTTGTCTTTGTGACTTTGGGTTAATCTTTTCCCTTCTCTGTGCCTCAACTGTCCCATCTCTACAATGGGGGCAGGGTGAGGCTGAGCTCTGAGACCCTCAAGATCCCTCCCAGCGACTTCCCTGGTGGTCCATTGGTTAAGACTCTACCCTTCTACTGCAGGGGGCACGGGTTCAAATGCTGTGTGGTGTGGCCATAAAAAAAAGATTCCTCCCAACTCTGTCCCCTGAGTCCATGCCTCCCAGCCTTCCCAGGAAGACAGGCCTTTTTCTCACAGGGTCTTTTGCTGAACTGGGAGGTGGCTCATCGCTTTCCCCAGATCTGGGATGGGAAGGGTGTTAATTTTGGTGACTTAGGCAGATTGGAAAAAGTCTCAAGAAACAGTCGTGTAAACCCCAGCTGGGGTATGACTGTGTGTTGAAGGCAGAAAGAAGAGATGTGGATTTGAACTGCAGCTGGCAGGACTCTATTTAGATCCCAGCAAAGGCTTTTGGCCCTAAGGGTCTTGAGTGAGACTCTAGGATTTTTTTCCTGGATTTTTGGGGAAGAAAAATAGAGACAATTGAAATTTGTCACCTTCTTGGGGGCAGGGTGTACACGTGGTTCCAGGCATTGATTTCATGAACCTTGTAATTTTGCTAAATATGGGCATTACTTAAAAACAACAACAACCTGTCACCTGTTTGTGCTGTTGTTTTATGAAAGGAAGACTATTCTGACACTAAAAAAGATGACAGTACATAATTCCAGAATAAAGAACAGTCACTAGTTTTGAGTCTATGAGACTATACCATCTTCATTTTTCTTGTTTTGTTACCAACCTGTAAAAACTAAAGGGCCAGAATTTTGGGGTCACTGAGCATCTTGGGTCCTCATGGGAGCCCAGGGATTCTTGCTAGCATCATACCCTCTGAAGCGAACACACATCTGAGATTTGTGGTAGCTGGGATGTGGCTTTGGGGAGAGAGGGCCTTGGGGATTCCCGCGCCTGCATATGTGAGCTTTTGGATATGGAAAGTGGAGAGTCTCACTCTGGCATTTCCCACCCCTGACCTGGGTTTTCACCTCAGGTGACCTCAGACGTGTTCTGCCTCATGCTGGCCTCAGGCCTCCCTCCCCATCAGCCCTGCGCAAGCTGATAGATGCTGGTGGGAGAGGGAGATGTCAAATGTAATGATATTTTTGTGAGACTTGGTTGAGCCTTCTTTTGTCTGAGGGTGAAGGGGTTGGGTGCTAGCTGTGCTTCAGAGGTGGTGGTTATTCAGACATCCTTCCTGGGTAGTCCAGGAAAGCTGCCTGGAAGAGGAAGACTGTCGAAGGTGACCGAGGAGTAGGATGACCCAGATAAAGGGGCTGGGGTTTGTCCCGCTGAACTGGCCAGCTCTCAAAGGTGGAGGAGGTGGGACTACAGTGGCCTCGCCAGTCCACACAGAGTCAAGAGTCCAGAGTGGGTTGGGCATCCCCAAGATTCAGTCTGATCATTGGGAGTAAGAAAAGCTGGAGTTGGAACTCAGCAGTGGAGCTGGTGACTTTTTCCTTTGCTTGATCTGACCTATGTCCAGGTCCTCTTTGGGAGAACTATAGTTAATAAGAATTTACATTACTGAGTAATGATCCTTTTATGTACATAAGTTCTTTGTACATAAGGAAACTGCCCCCCACGCTTCTCTAGTTGCAGCACGTGGGCTCTCTAGTTGCAGCGCTTGGGCTGAGTTGCCCTGCGGCATGTGGGATCTTTGTTCTCTGACCAGGGATTGAATCCTCATCTTCTGTAGGGAAGTCCCATTCTACCCGCTTTTTAAAAGTGAAGGTTCCTAAGGTCCAGAGAAGTGAACACACTAGTCCAAGGTCACACAGTTTATAAGTGACAGGGCAAGATGGGAGCCCAAGTGTGTCTGGTTTCAGATGCCACCTGGTTTCCTGCAGCCTGGGGGTCAGCAGACTTGGGCTCTGGTTCCCCTTCTTGGCTCCGCGACTTGGGGATAATTGTGTGCTCATTTAATAGACTTTCTTAAGGGTCCACTTGACAGTGTGAAAGGTGCTGGGGAGGCCAAGAGACAGATTTTCTCCATCGTGAGTGCATAGCCAGCCAGCTAGCAGTAGGATGGTGGAGCCCAGTACAGGCGCCTGGGAAAGACCCCCTCAGTCAGTCATCTTTGCCTGGTAGTAAAATTCATAGTAGCTCCAGGCATTTCCTAGACTTGGGCCAGTCTGAGAAAACAGTAACTCACAGCTATTTAACAGTGTATTGTGGCTTGGACCTGAGATGATCCATCTGTAAAATGGGTACAGAGCAAGCAGAGAAAGAAGGACAGTGAAGCAGGCTGGGGTGGAGGCCTCTGGCAACCCAGAGGATTGCTGCTCAGTTCCAGCCAGTTAGGCCCAGGTGGGAATGGGGTCTGGCGGGGGGACCATCGTCTCATTTATCAGCTAAGTGTTAGTCACTCAGTCATGTCCGACTCTTTGCAACCCCATGGACTGTAGCCTACCAGGCTCCTCTGTCCATAGGATTCTCCACGCAAGAATACTGGAGTGGGTTCCCATTTCCTCCTCCAAAGGATTGTCCCAACCCAGGGATTGACCTGGCTCTCCTGCATTGCAGGCAGATTCTTTATGGTCTGAGCCACCAGGGAAGCCCATTTATCTGGAGTGGAAGCCAATTCAGATAGCCTTGTGAAACTTCCCTGCTGTGATAGCACAAGCAGGCCAGACTCTACACACCCCTGGTTGTGATGCCGCCCATGGCCTGGGACCAGCGAGGAGGTCCTGGAATGGAGAGGTCATGCTGGCAGCTGTTGTGCCCAGCCCTGGGCCTGGCCCCGAACAGGGTGTTCATGGATGTTCCTGAAAGCAGCAGGCCATGGGCCTCTGGGAGGCACCCTGAGTTTTGTGAACTGTGGACATACCCCTGTAGCAGCCACTGAGATAGACAGATGTGGTTCAGGGCCTTTGCATTCCGAATCCTGAGTGGCTGGACTGTGGGTCTGGCCTTCTCAGCCCCTCAGGTCCCAGAGAACACACCTGTCAGGTTTTGTTGGGTTGCCTGCTTTCCTCCCATTGCCTGGCCTCAATAGCCTTTGTTATTACCTTCGTATTGTTGGAGACTCTGGCCCAGAAGCAGGAGGTAGATGCCAGTCTCCCGGCACAGTTGCCAGTCTGGGGACACCTGTCCCCTGGTGCTTCCTGGGGTGCAGTGAATGAGTCGCCATCGGGAGGGTGGGTTCAGATGGGACTTCTGAATTTTATTACTTCCCCTCCCTGGTCGTTCAGAGGTAATTTATTTTATTAAAAATTTTTTTTTTTTGCCTGTGCCACGCAGCATGTAGGATCTTAGTTCTCTGACCAGGAATAGAACCTACACCCTCTGCAGTGGAAGCGTGGAGTCTTAACCACTGAACCTCCAGGGAAGTCCCAGAACAAGCATTTAAAATGTGAAAAGGGCTGGGGAGAGGGGCTGGGCAGCAACTCTAATCCAAGTAAGGCTGCCCGACCCACCTGCAGGGCACTGGCCTGGAGAGGAGAGTGAAGAGAAGCTTCTAGAACCCCTGGAATATCTGGTAGCACAGATTCCCAGCCCTCACCCCCGCCCCGCCCCGCCCCGGCCCGCAATAGCACCTCTCACATCAGAAGGATAGCTGTAAGTCAGGTGTGTCTGCCTTTCCAGAAGGGAGAGTCCAGGGCTGATGAACGCCGATTCACGTGGCTGCTGTTCTTTCTGAAGCCCTCGTGATGGCTGAGACTGCAGTGAATATCAACAGCAGTTGCTTACATGGTTTGAGTTCTTACTCACAAGGGAAGCAGTGGTCTTCCTCATTTCACACAGGCACGTGGAGGCCAGGAGTGGGGACAGTCAGGTGCCCCAGGCCACATGGTGGATCAGCCCTGGAGATAATCTCCATCTCCGGGCATGAGCTTTTGTAGGGTGGGAGGTGGAGCATAGGATGGGGACCCAGGAACCCTTGTCCCATTTGGGCTTCAGCCCACCGTGAGTATCTGCCTGAGTCCCGCTGTCCTAGGTCCCAGCCTTGGGAAGTGTTGCTTAAATAATGCTGATGGTGGTAACCACAATCATAACAGACAGCATGGCTCTGCTTGGTAGAAACAAAACAATGTACAGTTGAGAAAATCAGCTGGTCCACAGCTGAGGCAGAGAGGCTGAAGCAAATGTGGGAACTGTGGCTTTGGAGGCTGCACGGAGTGGGGGAGGGGGCAGGGAAGGAGCCCAGGACACACCACAAGGGCACACCTGGCCGGCACAGATGCTGCCAGAGATGCGGGAGGTAACAGCAGAACCGGGTTACATAAAGCCTTCGCTCCCATGCCGTTAGCTGGCGGGTTCCCCTGCCCTCCCCAGCCCGCGTGCCACCAGCTCTGTACCACCTATTGTCCCCAGCAGGGGAGGGCCAGCCGCCCAGAGTGTCGACACAGATGCCAGCAGTGGCCTTGCAGCCTCCGGGCTCTCTTCTCAGGTGGTAGCACTGCTCCCGGCAGCCGTGGCCACCCGCCGCTGACCCTGACTCAGGGCTGGCATGTTCAGCTCACTGAGGAAGGAGGCTGGATCTGCTCCCGCTCAGGGATGGGCGGGGAGGCCTCTGTAATTTTCCTTCAAGCAAATGAGTTAGGCTCCAGGTTGTGGGTAGAAGGCTCAGAATCTCAGGTCACCCGTGTGTCCCCTTTCCCCTCTGCTGTTCCTGTCTTTCGCTGGGAGTCCCCTGTCCTTATCTTTTTCTCTCTGTCTTGCTTGTTTCTCTCTTTGCTTCTGCTCCTGTGTTTTGCCAGCTTGTCTCCCGGGACTCCCAGGACCTGTGCTAAGCCTGTGATGCAGTGTCTAAAAACCGAGATGCTGTCACTCACCAGCTGTGACATCATTCAGCGAGTGACTTACCTTCTCTTAGCCTCAGCTTCAGCATCTGTTAAGGAGAGTGGGCTATAACACCCCGTCTCCCCCAGCTCTGCACTGTCCAGTGTGGTAGCTGGCAGCCGCAGGGAGGTCTGCTGAGCTCTGGGAACATGATCAGTCTGAGATGGGTTAGTTACTCACTGGAGGAGTTAGGCGGCTTGCTTTGTCTCTAGCCATCATGTCATGGGCCAAGCGCGGGGGCTGATTCCTTGGGCTCCGATCCTTACAACTGACTTCACTTTGCTGTGCCTCAGTCTTCTCATCTGTGATTTAGCCATCCCTGAGTAATCCTTGACTCCTTCTGAGATGAGGCATCTCTGGAATGATGCGGAAGAGGCTTCAGGCCGTGTGAGTAGCCTGAGGGAGGGGTTTCCAGCTCTCTGACTGGCAGTGGCAGGGGTCAGCCTGTCTCTTGGCATCTACAGTCGGGTTTTTCATAACACTTTGTCACCAAGGTCTTCAGGACAAGAGGCTGGTCTGCAGCTGCCCTCCTGGCTGGACTTGAGCTAGCCAGGGGTCTTGGCTTGCAGTGGTCCAGTGGGGCTTCAGGTCTGGGTCCTCCAGGACAGCTAGGAGCTCGGCTATCTGCATCACACAGCCTGAGCATCCTCGGGTGCTCACCCGGGCCTTCCACGCAATCCTATGTGCAGGCCTAGTGGGGTATTACCACAGGGCCAGCTGCTGACCCTTTCCTTCTGTGCCCTTCCCCACCCCAGGCTGGATCCATGCAGTCTACACTCCCGTAGACTCTCTGGTGTTCGGCGGGAACATCCTGCACAGTTTCAACGTGCCCATGCAGCTGCGGATCTACGAGATCGAGGACAGAACGCGGGTGAGGCGGCTTCCTTTTCTTCTTGTGACCGTGCCAGCCCCTGAGTTCTGCCTGGTCCTCGGGGCACACGGGGCAGTCCTTCCAAAGTCCTTCCTGGCCCCTTGTCCCTCCTGAATTCCCTGCCTCAAGCCGGGTCTTGGTCCTGGTTCTCTGGGGCAGGGGGTGCCCACGAGAGCCTCCACCCAGAGCCCCGGGTGTTTCTGTTTACCTCCAGACCCGTGGTGCCCAAAACCCCCTTGTCGAAGAGGAAGTATCTCTTGAGAAAGCACCGTGAGATGTCAGGAACCCTGGCTCTTCCTTCTTCCCACGTGTATAAAGGGATGCGAGGGAGTGGGCTGGGGGTGGGGGTGGTTGGTGGTTCATGGTTGCGCTGGTAGTTTGGAGCGGGGTTAGGACCTTGGGAAGTAGCTCAGATCTTGACCATGGGGGGAACCTGAAGAAGCCAGTATCGATCTGTGAGTCCGCTGGGGGACTGTCTCTGAGCTCCGTCTGAGTGTCTGCTTGCTGCTGTTGGGGGGTCTCTTGTCTTCTTGACACGAAGCCTTCCCCCCAGGAGCAGAGTCCGAGGCTCAGACAGCTGACCTGGGTCCTCCACTCTGTTCCCGTTCCACAAGTTTCCTCTGAAAATCACTGGCCCTTCCATGCCGGAAACTGACCCAGTGTCCCCCTGCATTTGAGACGGGTCTGAGAGTGGGGAACCAGGACACAAAAGGCCTACTGCTTCATTCTTAACAGTTATTCAAATGTCTCTTCTCCCTTTTAATTGAGATGTAATCCACACACACACAGTGCACAGTTCAGTGGCGTTTAGCATGTGCCAATGTTGCACAGCCATCACTTCTAATGCAAAGGGGTTTTCATCACCCTAAAAAGAAACCCTGTCCTCAGTAGCAGTCACTCCCCACTCCCCCCTCCCAACCTCTGGCAGTCACTGGTCTGTTTTCTGTCTCTGGATTTGCCTGTTCTGGATATTTTATGGAGATGGCATCGTATAACCTGTCCTTTTCAGTATGGCTTCTTGCACTTAGCAGCATCTTCAAGGTTCATCTACGGTTGTGGTGTTTGTCATTGCTTTGTTCCCATGGCTTGATTATATTTCATTGTATGGGAGGACCACACCCGGCCATCTCGGGCTTTGCCTTGGAAGTGACTTTTGCCCCAGAGAGGGTTGCCATTCGTGGACCCTCTCATAGAAGCAGATGCTCTGTGCTCAGGGGTCCTGCCTTTCTTGGTCTTGTTTCCGGGCCTTGGTCTGCCTGGAATCACATGCATGGGTCAAAGTCTTAGCCACTCTGTGTGCACTGACCTTTTTAGTAGTCCTGATGTTGAGGAGCCTCGTCCACAGGCTCCCTGGGGACCACTCTATGCCGTGTTCAGTGGGCAGGTGTGCTCACAAGGGCGCGTGCATATCTTCAGCCTGGTGGATTTGCAGCTGGGATGCCCGGATCCCAGGGGTCCTGCTTTGTGGAATTCCGTGCCCCTCTTCTGTTGCCTGCCGACCATCCCTCTCCTGGTCTGGGGGAGGCCAGTCCCAGCCCTGGTCTGGAGGCTGCTGCCCCATGGCATTCTAGAGAAAGGCACCATTTGGGTGCCAGTGGTCAACTTGTAGTCTGGGTCAAGTGCTGTCTGGGACTCTGGCCAACTGTCCTTTGGCCAGCCCCTGAAGAATGGACCGGTTTGTTTGTGAGCAGACGGGTAGGTGTGGGAGAGCAAAGGAGAAAGAAGTCAAGCACACAACTTTCCAGGCAATTCCTGAAAGCCAGAGTCAGGCTGGGATATTTCTAAAGGCTTCAGCAACTCACTTGGCAGCTGTCCCCGCTCCCCCCGAGGGAATCTGGATCCTACTTCTCCATGGATTGGGGTCCTGTCGTCATTCTGTTAGGAGCCCAGCTCCCCTCCCCCGTCAGCAGGAGGCGGGAGGGAGGGTAATGAAGTGGAACCCCCAGCGCCATGCTGAGCTGCTGTGGAAAATCGCACCCACATGGAGATGAGCACGGCAGGGCCCCCTCCCCCAAGGCCTACTGTTCCCTGTCGTCTCAGTGGGCATCCCATCTGGTTCCCTGAAGCAGGTGGATGGGCGGGGGGTTGAGGGGGAGAGGCCGGGGGTGGGGTGGGGGGAATGGGGCGCAGGCTGGGCGGGAACCAGCAGCAGGCTGTTTAATCTGCTTTGATTTCTGGTCTTTGGAGAGGGCTTGGCTACAAGGCCCAATTGTTTATGTCTTAGGAGCCAAAGCAGACAAAAGATGCTGGGAAGAGAGCCCTGGAAGCCAGATAAAATGCCAGGGCTGCTCCTCGTCAGCTCGCTACAGCTTAATTCTTTATATCCCTGTGAGCTTTCTTAAGAAGGTTATGGCCATTTAAAAATAGTTTTTCGAGAGTCCGAAAACATGGATTTGCTTGGAAACCAAATGCTGGGGGCGGGACAGAGGAAACCATCAGTCTCTAAGCCCTAGGGTGTGGGCTTGATTTAGAAAAATCATTTGCCTTTGTGGCCCAAGGTGAGGGACCTCCCCATAGACACCAGGGGAACCCCAATGTTCTCTTATGTTTAGGAAGCATGTCTGGCTCTCATGATTTGAATTTTTCTGGGCTGGATGAGAGGTGATCACCCTGCTGCCCATAAAGCAAGCATGAACAGGTGCAGGTGTTCTGGGACTGGCGTTTTTCATTTCCTGACCATCTTCCCTCTCTCATTCTAAAGATAAGCAGAGGGGTGAAGAGCTAACCAAAGACTGGATGTGTGGCATGTTTATTATTTGAAGATAGCATCTCAACAACTCTCACTCCATATTTTTAACTCCAGTTGGCTTGATAAAGGATAGAAATGGTCCAATTGATCACTAAACTGCCGTCTCTCATATTTATCTTTCTTTTCCCCCCCAATGGCTCTAGTGAAAACAGCCTTCTCAGGAAAGGTAATGCCAACATGCCCCATTCCCTCTCAGCTAGCGAATCTATTTGGAAATTGCAGATAATTTATCCTTCCTCTCACCTTTCCCCTACCATTGGATTTTTTTTTCCATTGACTTTTTTTTTTTTCCAGGAGAAAAACAATTTTTAAGACACTTCCACCCACCCTCATATTTTAGTGTCTCAAGTCCTTGAGACCTTGGGGTTCTAGATGAACCGAAACATCTTTGGTTCTGATCTCCTGAGGTCACTCCAGGAAGCTCCAGGAGGAAGGGCTTAGGCCAGGTGCCACTCGAATGGACCTTTGGGAACTCAAACTGACCCCTTGAGACCCGCTGAGAGATTGATTACTCCCCCAGGCTGGGAGCATTGCATGCTTTCTGACTGCCTTGCCTTTCAATGATCAGCTCAATTTGGTGAGGCTCCGAATGTGTCAACAAGTAATGTTGAGCAATCGTGTGTTTAATGTTCCCAGGCATGTGGCTGAAACCTTTTGAAGGCGAAGGGTGGAAGGCGACAACCTGTTTGTAAGTCAATTCTTTGCAAATTTTGTTTCCTGCGGTGCTCTCTTGGAAAAAAAAAATAAAACAAAACAAAACAAAACAAAATTCTTTCATCAGCATTTGTTTTCACCCAGCTGGTTTCCCTTGGGTTCAGCAATGATGAGGGGAGACTTATCTTCCTCTCTGGAACTAAAAAAAAATTTTTTTCCTAATCTAGAAAGATTCTCAGGTGCCATGGTGCCCATTAGGGCCGAGTGGCTCAGACGGTTTCCCAAATTTGAAAAGTCAAAAGAACTTGAGAGTTTTATCAATCAAGTCAGGAGAGGCGAGGGAGGGTCTGAGAAGAGGCAGGCCTGCCTGTCCTCAACTTGCTCTGTAGGTTTTGACGATTTGTTTCAAAATCTGTTGGCCCTTGTTCTGGAGTGAGGGTGGGGTGGGGCTGAGAACCACCCCCTCCCCAAACTCTCTTCACAGGAGGCCAGGACGGCCTCAGGCCCAAGAGCCTCTCTCCTTTTCAAACTCTGGAGGATACTGATCCAATGACTGTGAAAAACGATGAATACTCTCCCAGCAATAAACTGGGGTTCTTGGGAAAGTAAGCTGGAGCCAAGGAAACCACTAAATGATATTCCCAACTCCATGCATCTCCCCAGGAGCTCAAAAGCATGCGGCAGCCAGGATCTCATCCTAAAGCATACCATCCCCCAGAGGCAGGGAGATCAGATGGACCCAGGATGCAGATGGGAGAAGTGGGGACAGGGTCTTGCAGCCAGGAAACTGAGTCAGTGGGATCTGGGATGGATGGGAACTGGAACTGGGACTCTCAGAGAGCAGAGTGGGGGCCTTGTCCGGATGGACACCGAGAGAGGCAGGAGGACCGGATTTTAGGGATGATGGAGTAGATGGAGCATCTAGGTCTGTCTGTATTTGCCTTCCTCCCAGATGTAGAATGTCACCTGTTGGTTGTCAGCAAAGCAAGGTGGGAGAGTGCGCTTCCTTGACACCCAATTCCCTGAGTTCCTAGAGGACAGGAGAGGTGAGGAGGGGTCTCTGGCCCCCGCACAGGTCCCTCAAGGCTGATGCATCCTCGGTGAGAGGGTCCAGGAGTGACTGTGGACGTGTGGGAGCCGTGTGTGGTCTCGGAGAAGAGGACCGAGCTGTGGGAGACACCATCTCCCACCACCCTCACCCGCTTGGGATGTAGTTTCTGGAAGGCTCCTCCATGCCAGGGCCATCAGTGTTATTGCTTCTTTCCCATCTCTTGCTGCCATCTCATCCGTATGGAACCCGTGCTGCCAACCATTGGAATCCCCCTGGGGCCCCGGCCTTTTCACAGCTCTGATACATCAAGCTCTCTGCACCTATACTTCCTCTCCTGTAAGAAACAGTCAAAAGGGGATCTCCAGCTGGACGCCTGCTCCAGACCCGGGGGGTGTGTCCTTCAGTGTTAGGACGGTCCCAGATCACACCAGGGACTTGTGTCAGAGGGAGTCCTCTGTGGAGATACGGCTGGCAGTGCCAGGTGTCGTGGGGGAGGCGCAGGAGGTGGGCCCCTCTGAGGCCCCGCCCCTGATGGCAGGAGAGGCCACACCCCCTCCATCCTCATTGGTCCGTCTGTTGTGGCCTCCTCCTCTGAGTACAGGAGATGCTTGACAGCCTGTCTGCAAATGGGTAAGGTTTGGGGTTTGATTTCTGTTTTTCAAGGTGGGAAGGAGCGGTGGTAGAATCTATGCAAGGATTTTTGAGAACGGGCGAGGACCCTGTGTCTGTGGTAGCTAGAATCAGGCAGGGGCTTGCAGCCTCAGGTACCCGTGCACTCCGCCATCAGATCAGGGGACATCTCTGTTTCTCTGCATCTCACCGAAGCATAAAGTGGACCCCGTACAGCTTTCCCTGCGCAAAGCTCGAGGACCTTTGCAATGACGCTCTCACATAGGCCTCTTCCCCGCTCTTCCTCCTCATTCGTGCATGCTGGTATCTTGCCCCTTTCAGCCCTTCCCTCCAGCCCATACCCCCGCCCCAGCCGCCCCACCCCCCCCACCCCATTTTTCCTTCACACCATTTGTGCTCTTGCTAAGATGATGAAAATGACTCCCACTCCCAGGAACTACCCCCCCCCCCACCCCAGTGCCCTTCTCTCCTGCCTTTCCCCTCTGCCCTCCAGAAACTGACCTCTGCTCCTGGATCTTTGCTTTCAGGTGCAGCCAAAATTCCGTTACCCCTTCTACTATGAGATGTGCTGGTATGTCTTGGAGAGATACGTGTACTGTATGACCCAGCGGTCCTACCTCACTCAGGAATACCAGAGAGAATCAATGCTTATTGGTGAGTGAGCCTTGCTCGGCTGCCTCAACGGCTCAGCTGCAGCAGAAATAATTTTTGTTTTTAATACTCAGCAGTGTTATTTTCTTTTCCATCTCTAGGTCAGTATTTCTTTTTTTTTTTTTTTTTTTAGTTGGAGGCTAATTACTTTACATCATTGCAGTGGGTTTTGTCATACATTGAAATGAATTAGCCATGGATTTACATGTATTCCCCATCCCGGTCCCCCCTCCCACCTCCCTCTCCACCCGATCCCTCTGGGTCTTCCCAGTGCACCAGGCCCGAGCACTTGTCTCATGCACCCAACCTGGGCTGGTGATCTGTTTCTAGGTCAGTATTTCTATTTATCTTTAAAGATTAATTTTTATTGGGGTATAATTGCTTTCTGATGTTCTGTTAGTTTCTGCTGAACAGCAAAATGAACCAGCTATACATATACATATATCCCCTCCCAGAAGTAATTTTTTTCAGTGGGGCTTTGGGAGTCCTGGGTTCCAGGAATTCCTCTGAGCCAGTGTTATTGGGCAGATTCCTAGAGACTCTTGAGGAGGGGCAGGGAAGTCATCCTTCTTAGCTTCCCACTTGAAATAGTGGTAAGTGAAGGAAATCATGACCTCCAACAGAGTCATCTTGGTGGCCGCCAGGTTTTACTGGTTGATTATACAGAGATGGGGAGGGGCTAGTCCCCTGGCATGGTTACTGAGACAGGCCCCCACCGAACAAAGATTCCTGGTTCTTTTTTTTTTAATCCCTCCCTGGCCACCAACTGATTTTTCTCCCTGCACTAGAGGTTAGATTTTTGTCTATATAGAAACAGGCCTAAGAGATTCAACCAGTTCCCCAAAACCCAGGTCAGTTATAAGCCAGAGGGAGGGGTTGACCAGAGTTGGGGGTGCAAGCTTGGCAGAGCGGTGGGTGGTTTTTGACAGAGGCAGGGAGAGAGCATTTATAACTGCAGCTGCAGCGCCCTACCCGGCTGCCATTACTTAAAGGGACATCGCACCCACCCCCAAATGGCTCAGTCCTTGAATCTTGGCTCACAGGCACCCACCCTAAAGTTGTATCTAGCTTGTGACATCTCAAAGAGTGATCTGTAGGAAGAATATGCTTCTTCCCCTCAGACTCTGAGCTGCTACAGTCGAGGGTTTCTTCTGGATGCTAGAGTCACTATGCCTCACTCACTGCATCTTTTTCATCATGGGATAGAAAAATGGGGTCGGCCCATCTCCTTTAGGGCCTGAACAATTTCTGCTGTGATTTACAAGATGTTTAGATTTGTTTTTTTCCTCTTACTAAACCTCTTCCTTCCTTCCCTTGACTACTGTCCTGACTTCCAGGGGTTTCAGGCTTGACATGTGATGGAGAACCAATGTTTCTGCTGGTGGGGGTTCTTGACTGGGGAGTGCCTTTTGGAAATTCAGCTCTATCTTGGGTTCTGGGGGGTGGGGAGCTCTGTTGTGATGTTTCATCCCTGTTAGATGATTCAGGTGTTCAAAAATACCCAGACCTTCACAGGCTCCTCTTGGGGAGCTTCCAGCCTGGTAGGAGATGGGAAATGATCCTGAAGTAGTGTGATGACCTCTGTGGTGCAGTAGCTACATGTTCCCTTGGGGACCAGAGGCTGGATTTTGAGGCAGTCCCCAGGACCGGGAAAGAGAGAGTCACCGCTCTCACTTGAAAATTTAGGGCCATAAGAAGAAAGTTCCTTATTCTGTTCCAGGCTTGATAGGAAGTGTTAAGGCCACGTTTGGGTCACTGGTATCCACATTTCTCTTCAATTTCCTTGCCAGTTTCCCCCTACCAAAGAGAAGGGGGGATGTTTAGGGGACACCTCATTTCTTGAGTGCTAATTGTGTGCCGGAACAATGCTCTGTGATGTCTTATTTAATGCTCACTATGAGTGTTCAAGGGAAGTATTTTGTGCCTATATTTTTTAAAGAGCATTCTTGAGATATAGTTCACATATCATATAATTCACCCTTTTAAATATGTATCATTCAGTGATTTTCAGTCTATTGTCAGGGCTGTGCAGACGCCAGCACAGTCAGTTTTTAGAATATTTTCATCATCCCAAAAGGAATTCTGGACCCTTGAGCTACCATGTCCTCCTTTCACCCCATGCCCTTGACCTCAGCCCTAAGCAAGCACGAATCTACTTTCTGTCTTTGTATAGTTTCTTCCTGTTCTGGACATTGCATATGAGTGGAATCGTTTAATATGTGCTCATTTTTGCCTTACTTTTTTCCCATATTGAAAGATACAATACCAGGTGTGTTGAGAGAAGTGAGGCACCTTGTCAGGGTGCACACCACTGGGGAAAAGCAAGCTCCGCCTGGCTGATGGCAGCCTTTCTAGGGCCTGAGGGAGGCAGAGGCCATTAGAAGCGGCAGAGGGAGCTCCATGTGCAGAGAAAGGGGAGGCACAGCGCGTGGGGCTCCCAGGGGCTTCCAGCGGGGAGTTTGGGGTGTTCACCGCTTGTGCCTTCTCCTTCCACGCCTCCTGCCCCGACCCCATTCTCAGATGCCCCAAGAAAGCCCAGCATAGACGGCTTCTCGTCTGATTCCTGGCTGGAGATGGAGGAGGAGTCCTGTGAGCAGCAGCCTCAGGAGGAGAAGGAGGAGGAGGAGGAGGAGGAGGAGGGGGAGGAGGGTGCAGAGAAGACCCCCAGAGCATCTGCCGACGGCCCTGCCTCACCCACCAGCGCCCCGGCCGAGGACCAGGAGGCCCCCGGGAAGAAGCCCAAAGCCCCTGCCATGCGGTTTCTCAAAAGGACTCTGTCGAACGAGTCAGAGGACAGCGTGAAGTCCGCCACGATGCCCGCCGACTACCCCAAGACGCCCACGGGCTCTCCTGCCACTGAGGTCTCTGCCAAATGGACCCACCTCACCGAGTTTGAACTGAAGGGCCTGAAAGCTCTGGTGGAGAAACTTGAATCCCTCCCGGAGAACAAGAAGTGTGTCCCCGAGGGCATCGAGGACCCCCAGGCCCTCCTGGAGGGTGTGAAGGTGGGCAAGGGGGTTGCCTCGGGCTGGGCAGCTAAGGAGGGCTGGGCAGGTCTTGTTCAACATGCAGATTCTCGAGGGTAGCTCAGCTCCAGGGAGCTTGGTACAGGCTGCCCTGGGGGGACGTCGTGCGTGGAGAGGGACCTCGAGTCCAAACAAGCCCATCTGAGTTGTTTGAGTAGAGGCCACCATTGAGATCCCTGCAAGGGTATCTCGTAGTGGAAGCTGGCTCTGCAGTTGACAATGAACTGTCTCTTAGGACGTGTTGAGAATCCCAGCCATTGAGGGCAGTAGGTGTCACTACTTAGAGTGCACCAGTAGTGCTGTGGTTGGGCTTGCGGCCAAACTCCTGACATCATGGTCGAGGAGACTTGCTGCCTTGGGCTGGCTTTTTTGCCCCAGAGCATGCTTCTGTTTCATGTGAACAGGGTGTTCATCCCGGTTGTCCTCTAGGTGACCATCTCGGGTGGGCCATCAGGATTGAGAGGTCTCCAAGTAGAGCCTAATTATTATTATTTTTTTATTTTAATTTTTAATTAGAAGATAATTACGTTACAGCATTGTGATGGTTTCTGCCACACATCAACATGAGTCGGCCATAGGTATACATATGTCTCCTCCCTCTTGAACTTTCCTCCCACCTCCCTCTCACCTCCCTCCCAGAGCCTGATTATTCAGCAAGCTCATTGAGCACCAGCTGTGTTGGCCATAGGGGAATGGGAAGCAGGCAGGTAAAGAAATCAGGTGGAAATTCCCTGGTGGTCTCCAGGACTTGATGATTTCACCACCGTGGCATGGGTTCAGTCCTTGTTTGGGGAACTAAGATCCTGCAAGCTTTGCGGTGTGGCCAAAAAGAAATTGGGAGGCAGGGAATTGAGTGCCACTGTGTGTACCCAGGTCATGGGAGTGGGTTAAGGGGACATTCATTGGCCACATCAGGGCCAGGGCTCTGGGACAGTTATGTACAGGGGATTTGAGTTGGGCCTCAGAGATTACATAGAGTTCTTCAGATGGGGAAGGCTGTTCTAGGCAGAGTACAAACATGAAGTGTATTTAAGAAATAGGAAATAACACTGGGAGACCTTGTCTGGTAGTAATCATAACATTTGTTGAAAGCTTATATGTGTGTGTATGTTAGTTGCTCAGTCACGTCCTACTCTCTGCAACCCCATGGACTGTAGCTCGCCAGGCTCCTCTGTCCGTGGAATTCTCCAGGCAAGAATACTGGAGTGGGTAGCCACGGTCTTCTCCAGGGGATCTTCCCAACAGAGGGATTGAACCCTGGTCTCCTGAATTGCTGGCAGTTTCTTTACCATCTGAGCCACCAGGGAAGCCCTGTGGAAAGCTTACTACCTGCCAGGTAGTAGGGCTCAGCAGGTGGTAGGTACCTGATGAGGAAGTTGACTCTGAGAGGTAAAAGGACCTGCTTGCAGTGACAGCTCTGTCACCTATATCTGGACAGTAGGGTCAGGATGAAGCCTTTAGAGTGCCTGTGTGGATATCATTGCGTGGAACTGCCTCCTATCACGGCATTGTTAAGGCTTTTGGGTGTGAGGCCTCAGAGATGTTTGGGCTTCCTTCTCTAATGTCTGATTCTCAAGTGAATCCATCTGCCCCCTGGAGTTGAAAACTGAATTCAAGTCTGTTGCTTGATGGCTGCAAACTCAACCCAGGATTTGTTAATTAGTTCATTTGTACATTTGTTCCCTTAGAAAACATCATGTCAGATCCTGGGATATAGAAATATTAAGACTGTTCTGCTGCCCTTGAGGTGCTCAGTGATCAGGGCTGAACTCTTGGGGTCTAGTGGAGGTGAGACCTGGGGCTGTGTCAGGTAGCTTAACAGGTACCACCAGCAGAGGGAGCTGGTGTACAGGATCATTAATTCAGGTATATCTCACTTTATATAGCAGGTGTATTCCCTGCAGATGCTGTGAATTCAGATTTTATGACTCTGGGAAATTGCCAAGTAAAAGAACTTTGTGATGAATATCCCTACAAGGCATATCTTTACTTTCAAATAGATCTTTTTTAAACTGATTCTTGACTGATTTGGAGGTTGCTTGACTTCTTGAGAGTTTCATGAAAGTACTCGTATGCACACACAATTTTGCATGCAGTATCAGAGGGTTTTGGACTCGTGAGTCTGCTCTTCAACCCCAGTTTAAGACCCTCTAATCTTGTGAAATGGAGTTTTAGATATTGGGTTTCCTAAAGGAAACCTTAGAATTGTGCAGTGTGGCTACTTTTCTCTTCTAAGGTCCTGTAAAATGAAAGCAGGTATTTTCATCAATAGCATCACTAATAGCATTAGAGTTCCAAAATGTTGTAAATGAGTTTAAAAAACACATGTTCATCTGAAAAGGAAGTGTTGTGGAGAGCCTTTTTTACTTTATGTTCATGTGCAGTGTTCCTAGTCCCTGGTTGGTCAGATTTCTTTCTAGGGATAGGATTCAGCCTCTTGTATCCCTCACCTGTGCCCACCTGATGGCCCTCTGAGGCTAGATTCAGCCTAGGCCCCGTGATGGTGTGAAAGAGGCCTGGGGTAGGAGCTTAGACAAATTTCAAGAATCCCAGTCTCTTTCCTCCCCAACCCCCACCTTGGGGCTCAATGGTAGCTCATGATGATGTGTAATAATGAATGGATTTCAATTGCTGTGTGCTCCTATAGGTCTTTTTCATATATAAATTCATTTAAATCTTCTAGCAATCCTCTGTGTTACTTTTGTTTCCCCCATTTACAAATGGGAAAATTGAGGTACAGATTAGGTTAAGTAACTTGCTCAAGGGCACATATACTGCTCGATGGGGAAATCCATGCACTTACTTACTAGACCGTGCTTTGTTTGGCTGCTGTAGAGAAACTGATTCTCTTTTCAGAGGCCACTATGAATTTAGGAAGAAAGTCTTAAGCTGACTGCTAATGGCATTCTTTACAGAACAGGCAACAGATCTGTTTGGTTCTGGGACAAAGACCGTAAATTGGTAGTCTTAGGACAAAATCTAGCCTCTAGGCATGGCATTTGACCTGTGCGGTATTGAATATATTTTTGTAATTATTTGCCAACATTGAAAAAATCAGAAGAGTAAGTGAAAAAGAAAAAAACTCAAGAGAATTATATAAAATATCTTTGCTATCCTGGCTTATGTTTCTGACTGACTCTGAAAGTGAAAGTTAGTCATTCACTTGTATCCGACTCTTTGTGACCCCATTGACTGTAGCCCACCAGGCTCCTCTGTCCATGAAATTCTCCAGGCAAGAATACTGGAGTGGGTTGCCATTTCCTTCTCCAGATGACTGACACTAAGCAGCAAGAAATGAGTAGCAAGTGATCTTATATACCCCAGTCCCCACCACTCCTTGTGCCTTTTGAGTGTTGGCTTACCATTAGGCTCACACATTTCATTTTGGTATAATCTAGCCAACTTAGCTTATTTATTGACGTAACTTGTCTTCAGAGATATTTATGGTCTTGAGTCTTGTCTGAGGAAAGCCTTTTCAGGCTAAAGAGCTTATAAATTGGGTGGACAAGTCTCCTTAAAGCCCCAGGAAAATCGGAGCCTCTGCTTTCATCTCTGAGTATTGTATGGCCTGCGTGGGGGAAGTGGACCAATCGTCTTTTCCAGAGTAGGGAGAGCTACTTCCTGACTGTCTGGTCAGGCTATCAGCCCCTCCCAGTCCCTGGAGACCCAGAAGAGATTTTGAACCTAAGACTAGCTTCTAGAATGAGTGTGTTATCACAGAGGGTGAAAAGCTTCTTCCTGGCTGCATGCTTTAGGTCCTTTTGTTCTCTCTTCTCAGATGTTGGGGTTTCTTTTGCACTGGCTGAGAAATAAAAGTCAGCTCAGGAATGTGGGTTCCAGATAGAATTCTTAGCTGATGCCCCCTGCTCCCACTACTATTGAACTATTTGTGTTTCTCACCAGTGTTGGTTCCCTCTTGATGATTGATCAGCCATGATCTTTGACTTCTGTGGCAAAAAGATGATGTCTTTTCTTCTGCCTCTTTCTCTGAGGCCTCAGAGATGGCTGCTAATGGTGGCTCATGGTAACCAGAGCCCCTGGGATTAGAGACACTCCTCAAAGTGTTAATATTAATGTCAGTCTCCAGATGGCTAGGTTTTAGCTTTTATCAGAAATTCTTTTCTTTTTCTTTCATTCATAATGTACGTTTTTAAATTGTGGTAACATATATTTACCATTTTCATTAGTTGATTAATTATACTGACTAGATCACCAGGTTAGAATCTTGAAGAAAGAAGATTCTTCAAGAAAGAAGATCTATAATTTTCGCCATTTTAAAGTGTACAGTTTAGTGGTATTAAGTACACTCACAGTATTGTGCAGCCACTATCTCTGTCTAGTTCAGAACTTTTTTATCACTTTAGGCAGAACCTTATATCATCAGCAGTCAGGCTCCATTTCCCCACTCACCCCAACCTGCATTCTGTCTTTATGGACTTATTTATTTTGTATAGCTCATATATCTAAGAGTTGTAAGTGTAGGGAGTTCCCTGGTAGCCTGGTGGTTAGGATTTGAGATTTTCACTGCTATTGCCTGGGTTTTCAGTGCCTCTTTGGGGAACTGAGATCCTGCAAGCTACATTGCATGGCCAAGGGGGGAAAAAAGTTTTGAGTATAATATTATAATCTTAAGTGATTGGTGTTTTTTTTTTTTAATAAACATTACAGGTTACAGGATAGAAAATGTCTCCTTCCTCAGTTCTCACTTCCTGGAGAATAACCTCTGTTAGTCATCTGCTGAACATACTTTTGGAGCTTTTTCCCTCACATCAATGTATATAAACATATATATATATATATGAATTTTTTAAAAAAATTGGTTCATACTTGCTTTTGTCCCTTTAAAGCTTCCTTTTTTGTGTCTGTTTCTTTTTTAAAAATACTTATTTAATTTTGTTTACGCTGGGTCTTCGTTGCTACATGTAGGCCTTCTCTAGTTGCAGTGAGCAGGGGCTTCTCATTGCATTGGCTTCTCTTGT